ATTAGAGGTTGGCCTGTGTATAGCCAGAGTTGATATCACAAGTATCTCCTTATTTGCTTGCCTCAATTTTCTCTGCATATCACTCATGTTATTTCACTACATTATAACTTTTTACCCACCCTTGAGTGGGAACAATTTTTGTTCACAAGTAATTCTTTCACCTAAGGTACCTGTGCTGTGAAGTCAAGATTTGCGTGCGAGGGTGAGAAGTTACGCTTGCGCTGTGAAAGTGACTACGTCCTTCGTGTATTCAATGCCAAATATGGTCGTTTAGAGCCTGGGAGTTCAATATGTCCACACGAGAATATCACTGACTTAAACTGTCAGGCGGAAGGTGTGCTATTGAAAGTTATGGCAATGTGTACCAATAGAAGAAGGTGTATCATAAAAGCGGACAGTTCTTTTTTTCGAGATCCTTGTCCTGGCACATACAAGTATCTGGAGGTTATTTATGGATGTGGTAAGTCCATCATGAGTTGTTTTTGTTTTTGCTTTTTTTCCGCTTCATTTATCATTTTTTCTGTTATTCGGGAAGCTACTCTTCGAAAGGTGTCAGGGAAGGCTGAGGTGTCGGGGGAACAGCAGTGAATTTTAATTCATGCTGTTACACAAGTTTTTTATCAACTTGAAATAAGAACGCCCTTCACCTTGAGTCTGAGCCCGATTTAGAGCGAAAAATGGAAAAGGGAAATTGGTATTTGTACCTCCACACTTTCCATTGGATTGTTAATAAATGCCTTCATTGCTCATATCGAATAGTGGCATAGATTGTAATCTTAGCGACAGCTATAATCAATCCTTCAACTACCAAAGGTGTGCTAAATGAATCGTTTCCAGTAGTCCCCAAAAGAGCACTTCTCGGTGACAAGGCCGAACCAAGTTGATGAAAACTTTTAGCTGTCAACACAAACCCTGTTTTAACCTATACTTCAACATCTTCAATATTCAATACAGTTCCTGGCGATAATTGGACTCCGACACCAACGTCGAAAAAGTCAAAGACGAAACCTCGTTTTAACAGAACGACGCCAGTAACCATGAAGTCGCCAATAACAAAAAGACCTCGTCTAAAGAGTACAACGGACAGCACAACTGGTAAAAATAGTTCGATAAACAACATCAGCGGAACGAATCAATCTAACACAACAAGAGAATTTTTACCAACGAGAAAATCTACCACCCTTAGCTTCCTATCCACTTGGACCACGAAGAAAAAAAAGTCACTTCCAAAAGCTCCAGATTCAAAAGCCTCAGGCAGGGAAGGTGAGGAAGGCGTGATTTTTGTCCTGCTGAGATCTGTGTACGTCACATACAGGTTCATTTCAGGTACGACACATTCAACTCAGACACGAACGTTGTATTCACGCTAATGAGGGCGGTCGCATGCACGCAAATTCATCTGGCGAAGTCATATGATGAAGTTAATAAACGAATCCTCCAGCTCAACAAAATTGTGTTTGGGAGAAAAATATTTTCCCAGAAACACACATCTAAGGGATGTTCGTTCTGCTGAATACTACATCGGCAACAACTCTGAGCTATGGACAAGAGAAAATAATGAGCCCTTATTTCCTCTTGGCTATGGTGTATAAAAGAACGCTTCTGTGTGTATCCAGAAGACAATCCATGTTATGGTCTTCATGATACCAAAAATTTCGTTCGTTAGATACCGCCTGTGCATGCAGCAAAAAGTGGATTTGGTGTTAGAGCAAGTGGCATTACCGGGGTAGATGAATCAGTAGATTGATCGATCAAATCTTAACTAAAATAGACAAAAAAAATTTGAAAAAAAGAAAAAACCAGAGAGAAATCTAAATTACAGTATAACAACTGTAATCGTAATGCTAACCAAGTCTTGTACCTTTTCAAGTCTAATTAAACGAAGGAGAAATCTGAATTAAGATGACTTTACATAACCTTGTCTACTGTGCCACACCCAGTGTCTGAGATAACTTTATGATCACGAAGAAACCATGAGCAAATCTTACCCTCCAAAAAAAAAAAAAGCGTGAAGGGCATTTCAACAACAAATAATAAAATTGAAAAACACTTGCCTAGTAGCAAAATAAAAAAAAGCAATTGTCCGACCGATTCCTCTGTTTTTCATTATGACAGATATGACTCCACAACTTTGAACCATTTGGCTTTTTCCTAAAGGTTTCTTGTGTAACTGAACCTGTAAATGAACCTGTTATTACAATCATAGATTTAACTTTTAAAGCTGATGGGTAACTTAACCTCTTAAAGTTGAATAGGCGCCTCTTAATTTTATTATTTTAGCTAAATGAGATAACTTCAAGACTAAGACTTAACTTAGGATCATAACACGAAGGCATTATGAGCTTATTATGAAGAATATTCAAACATCATCTTTTTTTGAAAATATGAATTACTCAGTCGAGAGCATT